AAATCAAAACCACAATGAGATACCATCTTACATCAGTTAGAATGGCGATCATTAAAAAGTCAGGAAACAACAGGTGCTGGAGAGGATGTGGAGAAATAGGAACACTTTTACACTGTTGGTGGGATTGTAAACTAGTTCAACCATTATGGAAAACAGTATGGCGATTCCTCAAGGATCTAGAACTAGAAGTACCATATGACCCAGCCATCCCATTACTGGGTATATACCCAAAGGATTATAAATCATGCTGCTATAAAGACACATGCACACGTATGTTTATTGCGGCACTATTCACAATAGCAAAGACTTGGAATCAACCCAAATGTCCATCAGTGACAGACTGGATTAAGAAAATGTGGCACATATACACCATGGAATACTATGCAGCCATAAAAAAGGATGAGTTTGTGTCCTTTGTAGGGACATGGATGCAGCTGGAAACCATCATTCTTAGCAAACTATCACAAGAACAGAAAACCAAACACCGCATGTTCTCACTCATAGGTGGGAACTGAACAATGAGATCACTTGGACTCGGGAAGGGGAACATCACACACTGGGGCCTATCATGGGGAGGGGGGGGGGAGGGATTGCATTGGGAGTTATACCTGATGTAAATGACGAGTTGATGGGTGCTGACGAGTTGATGGGTGCAGCACACCAACATGGCACAAGTATACATATGTAGCAAACGTGCACGTTATGCACATGTACCATAGAACTTAAAGTATAATAATAATAATTAATTAATTTTTAAAAAAAAGAGCTTTCTATATGAGATTTGACATTAATGCAAATCTTCAACTTTTGTTCAGTGTATGTTAAGTTCTATACTTTTTGTGGTAATTTTTTATTCTATATACCTCATAATGTTATTAATAAAAGTCAGCTCTTCCAGTTTAACCCACTCAAAGTAACTTACCTTACCCTTTTTTCTCCATAAAGAGCTATTATATTTTAAAAATCATCATTTTGCAAGGGCATTAATAATTAAATATTTAGGAAAGAATATATCAGAGAATATCTAAACTTGGTCCTGAATTCATAAACCAGGGTATACCATGTTAGCACACTTGATCTTTTTATGCTTTTTATCTGTTTACTACTACAAAAGAACTTATCTTCAATTCAGATTTTAAGCTCACATGGCTTGCAGTAGTTCTAAAAAAAATGCTGCTAAAAATTGGTATCTTCAGTATTTTTGCAAACATCAAGTAATGCAAATCACTTTTGAAAGTATTGGTATAGCTTTCTTTCCAAAATAGGTACATTTTTGAAGTTGCAAGAAAAGCCAGTAACATCCTAATATTTTAGATAAATGGTTCCCTTATATTCATGGCAAAGGGTTGAGGAGCAGAGACTGGAGTCAGTAATCCTTGATAGGCCCACCCATGCCTAACATCATATGTCTGTAGTGTGATCAAGAAAATGTAGCCGAGCCACTTCAAAGACCATCAGTAATAAAAATATGTTCTCATTATTTATAACCACTACGAATATCTTGAATGCTTATTGTATGCCACACACTGGTCGAAGGGCTTTACAGGTATGGCTCATTCACTCATGGATTTATTCAACTATTTATTGTTCAACAGCTGTGAGCGAAGTACTGTTTTTGTCACAGGGCAGGATGTCTCTGCCCACGTTGAACTTATATTCTCCTGGAAGTCTAATAAATGAACAAAAACATAATATCTTAAGTACTATAGACCTTATTGTATTGATAATAAGGAAATCAAACATGGTGGAGGAGTCTAAGGTACCAGTCAGATAAAGATGCCAGGTAAGACCACCCTTGATGGGGTAAACAGACACCTAAATGAAGCAAAAGAAAAAGTCATGCAAAGACTTCCTAGGCAAAAGCCTGCTTAAATAGGAATAAAGGCAAGTGCAAGATCTCAGAGGTCAGAATGAGCTGGCTCACTTACAGAGTGTCAAGAAGACCACTGTGGCCAGAGCAAGGTGAAGAAATAAGAAAGGTAAGAGATGAGACAGGACTAAATCATATAAGGTACTCTAATCTATGGTAAGAAGTTCAGATTTCAGAATATTTAATCCAGAGAGCAATCGTATGATATTATTGTCCACATTTAACACATGAAAAAATGAGACTTAGAGTCAATAAACTTACCCAAGTTCATACATCTAGTAACTAACATAGAAGAATTCAAACCCTTTCATTTGATCTGAATCCAAATCCAGTGTCCGTTTACTAGTCTGGTATTTTAATAAATATCCTAGATTCAGTGGTCCCAAATCAAATGCTCTCAATAGTTAAAAGAAAACAGACGAATGCATATTTGAAATTTGAAACTGGACTTCTATACACAAAGGAGAGAGGGATACTACATATATACTATATTATATAATGTTGAATACATCCAACATTGTGGTTTAGAATGGGAATTTTTAATACTTTTGGATGATTCAGCATTTGAAACTCAGAATTAATGAAGGCAGCAAATTGTTAAAAACAAAGCAGTTGAATAGCATCAGATACAACAAATGAAATGCAATAAGCTCAAAATGAACTTCCTAACTAAAACTTAAATCACTCTAGTAGTAATCTATTAAAAAAATTTCTGGAGCCAATACTACACTGTTAATATAAAGCAGAATAGTGTTATTACCTTATGTAATTAATGTGTCTGCTACTTAAAAAATCGGGGCATTCATATTTTTATGTAGAGTTTGATATACTTTGGTCTATAAATGAAATGATAATGAAGGAGTATTCTGAGGAAATAGTCTGTTATAACTTGAATGATAAGCTGGCAGTCTAAATGGTCCTATTACAAGTAAAAGTTATCCACTAAAAGGGCCATTAGAGAACATTTAGGATGAGATGAAAAAATGTTCTACTTTGAAGACAAAATGTAAAATGTAGATATTTTGGAATTTTATTCAGAGCTAAAATTGCCTACAAATTTTCATTAATGAACTATATCATTTGAAAACACTCCCTTTTAAATGTGAGTTAAATTTTTTCTCTTATGAAATAAGACGTTAATAGCCTTATGTGTCATTTTTATGGGTATCTCTTTGGTGTAGTTATCAGGGCATTTACAATTAATGTTTAAAATGGAAACCATGATTTCAAAAAATGCATTCTGAGAAAAAAATATATTTAAATTGAGTTATAACTATGGCTGTCCCTAGGTGGTTTTTATTAAAGTGAAACAATAATTAAAAGATGTTGAATAGATATTGCTTATTTTTTGCCCAGAAATGAGTTGTTAGAGATTTGTTCAAGTACTGTCATCTCCTATTATAATTCATATTTAATGCACAATAATATTCCTTTGAAAATAATGAATATGTCCTGAAACAGTTCTTCTGCCATTGGATCTTTGGATCTTTAGTCTCTGGTTAGAATAACACATTACTGTAATTCCTCCCCATCTTAGGTATAGTTTTAGTGAAGAGGTAGTTAAAGCCACGTCACACATAATTTGAATGAAATGAATGGATAAATTCATAATTGTTCCACGACTATAACAATAACTGTTTAAAATGAGTTCTTGAACAGTAGGGTTGTTCTTACTCTGATCCTATTTTTCCCCAAAGAAAAAAGTGAAATATTTTTGATAGGACAGGAATTTACAAAGACCCAGTATTTCTGCTATTCCTAAGATTAAAATATTCCCTTTGGCTCAGTTACTTATACATAAAATCAGAGACATGATATACACCTCAGTTGTCAACATTTTAGGGCAAGGCTGTTCTCACTCATCTTCATGTCTTCAGTGCTAATCAAGAACCTTACGTATAATAAAAGAATGAATGGGTGAAGAAGTGAAAGAAGGATTGAAATAATTTCACAATTATCTTAAGATTAGACCTCAGATACTTATGTTGGAAGTTATTTGTTCTACCCTTAATGGTATTAAGTATATAACCACACCGTTTCATTTCTTCAGCTATAATGTCAGCCTTGTAGATCAGTCGTTAGTTTTTTAGAATGTCCCGACTAATCCTTCCCTCAAACTATGTAGATTTTTTGTGATGATGGCAAAATAAGGATAAAGTTACATCAAGTTATATGCAAGCTGTGAATGATTACTGCCCGTAAGTGACAAGTGGTATCTGAAGCCTTTAAAAACATCTGTTCTCATTGAGATTGTGTAATGTTTTCCTATTTCTGTATTGAGGTTTCTTCTCTATAAACTGCCTCTAACACCGTATCTGGTATATGATATGCATTGTCTTTTATTCTTTGGGGTTGCTTTTTTTTTTTTTTTTTCTTGTTATAGTAATTCTTGCCTTTAAACTATAAACTCCTGAAAGGCATGAATTTTCCAAAGTTTTTGTAACCTCCAAAACTTCTAACGTTGTAAATATTAATTACACTGAATCAAAGATGACTTTTCTTCTGCATATTTTGTTTTGCCTTGAGTGTAGGTACTGCGTAAATAGTATTTGGAGGTACTAAAAGGAATGGTCATAAAATTCCCTAAAAAACGCTAAAATGTTAAATGGGTGTTCTTACTGTTTATTTTTGAGTGCCTCGTTTGGAACACTAACCATTAAATTCCAAATTAGTATAGATGTGCATAGTACCAACATTAGTAATTGCAGATTCTGGGAGGTTTTATGGACAGTAGCTTATACAACAGATTTCTTGCACTATTATGATATCCTTTGGTAGATAGGCTTCAGGGTCTTTAATAATTACAAGTCTGAACAATCATTGTATAACATACTATTTTTAAAATTAGGAAGATTTCCTTATCTGCCTTTTTTTTTTTTTTTTGGTAGCTGTAAATCATTTTTGGTTTTGAAAATAGAAAACCTTATTTGAGGGGGACATATAGTTTCTTCCTGTCATATATATATATACACAGCTCACTAAATAAAAAGCAATTACACATATACTGGCAACATAAACAGCCCACCCCCATCTCTAGCTGAAAATAAATGGTATATCAGTTATTTAAAATTCATTAACTTGGAATTGTGAGTCTTACCCAAGTAAATTTTCCCTTTATAACTTTTGGCAGGAAGAAGCACTGCATGGGTTTCGAGTGAGTGAGTATTTTGAATACATGGAAATTTTGGAACAAAACTACCGAACAGTGCTGCTGAGAGACATGCGGAACATTAGACTGCAGAGCACATAGATCATGAGGCACACAGTTTAAATTCGTTTTGTTTATTTTTAAAGGCAACAGGGGGGCTTGTTTTCTGTGTCTGTAACAACATATACTTTGTGAATATACATATTGTAAATACTGAGAGGTTTTGAATATAATGATATATTTAAGTAGGTATGAGCTCAATTTGTGAATTCATTTTTGTAAGTTTGTTGTTTTATAAGGTTATTATAGAATCAGATCTAGCTTACTTACCGTTCTTATTCATATTTAAGAGTCAGTCCTGGCCATGTGCAGTGGCTCATGCCTGTAATCCCATCATGAGGTGGGCGGATCACGAGGTCAAGAGATCGAGACCATCCTGGCCAACATGGTGAAACCTCGTCTCTGCTAAAAATACAAAAATTAGCTGGGTGTGGTGGTGTCCGTGTAGTCCCAGCTGCTCAGGAGGCTGAGGCAGGAGAATCGCTTGAACCCGGGAGGCAGAAGTTGCAGTGAGCCAAGATCATGCCACTGTATTCCAGCCTGGTGACAGAGTGAGACTCCGTCTCAAAAAAAAAAAAAAAAAGGCCAACCTACATCTCCTTCTTGATTCAGATGATTAAAATATTTTTTCCAGTGAGTTTGGAAAGGAGAAGTAATAGTGTAAATAACATTTTGACTAGCTGCAGAAAGCCCATAAGACAGGAAAAGACAGTATTTCTTGCATTCTTTATGTCTGGACATATAAAGGAAAACAGACAAAACCACAACTGCTTCTTTTATATGTGAAAGAACAATGATACTATTTCTCCATGGCAAGTGGTAGAAAGACTGTTGTCCTTTTACATAATTGTTTTTTAGGAGTTGCTTTTGATACCTATATCAATTTATAATTCTTTGTTTGAAATGAAGTCTTTACATGGTTCATTGAAGAGACAGATTGGTTATTTCATACTGATAAGCATTCTACTCCTATTGTTATGCATTTTCCTTAGTGATAGATTTTACTTGCACTGAACCTGAAAATATAAAGGAGAATACATTTGTAAATTATTTCAAATGGCCAACACTGTGATTTGTTTTATTTAAATAGAAGTCTCTGTACCAGTAAGATTAATACAGTATGTGAATGTCTATTTTTTATATCATAACTCACAATGAATATATGAAAGATAATACCTGAATATATTACATTATTCATTTTTAGACATAAGTTTATTTCAAGAAGTTTTTCTAATTGTAGATGTTGTTTTTTATTCTTTCCTTGTATCTAAATATAAATCAACCATTAAAATCGTTCTAACTTTAACCTTGCTTTTTTTTTCCTTTTCAACTAAAAGTGGATCATTCACAAACTAAGTTTTTCATTCAGCATGATCAAATAACTGGTACTATACAGTTTTCAATTTAGTAATATTTAGGCCATTGCAATATCAGCCTTCCAAAATCAAGTTTTATGCTGTAAATGCCAACAATAGCTTCTCAGTAATAGTGTTCCTAAAGGGCATTGTAAAGTTGAGAAAAGTAATTTGAGCAAGTTAATTTGACATATTGCACACTTTCACTTTGGCCGATGTGAGTTAAAAGAGAGTCATAGATGACTCAGAATACCAAGCTTTGTCTACTTTCAAACTTAATTTTGAAAAGCTGTTCCATGGAAGCTGTAATACATGTTTATGGTTCCATTTCCTCCCATTCTTTCCCTGGGTTATTGTTATGGGTCCTAAGAATCGTGCAGCTTTATTTCTTTTTATAATTGCGTACACAGTAGTTGAAAATACAAATGGAGAAGAATGAACTGTAATTTAATTTTATATTGTCCATTGGTGATTTTCATTGGAAACTGAGGTAAGATCTAAATTCTAACAATTGCATTTTGGAAAAAAAAATAACTTCAGGTAGAGCTAGAAGGTTTTCATCTTCATTTGACATATAAGTGTCTTATGAACAATGACCTAGCAGTTTGTTTGGTGAAAGAAAATTTAAAATATAATAGGTTGTGTAGCTGTCATTATGAGTTATTTTCATGCTTATTTTTAGAGTACCCTTTAGAACAGTCATACCCTGTCATGCCCCTTGGTTTTATTTTTAATTATTTAAAATGTAAGTCCTTAGACTTTATTTCTAATTTGTGGAGGGGTAACTCATACATTTTATAGGATTCAATTACAATAAAATATATATGATGGTATAATGTAAAAAGGTTTATGAAAAAATTAAAATATAAAAATATTTGAATATCTGCTTTCAAGATTTCAGATTTGTAGTTCTATCCCCTCATAATACTCTCCTAAAGTATCTCTGGAGGTAAAATAAGCCTCAGAAATTCATCTGAACTTTCAAACAAGGTTCTACATAAATTTGCCATTAGTAAATAGTGATGCGCTCTCGTTTGAATTTCCAATTTTCAGATATTAAATTTTGTTGTTTATTCATTAAGCAGATATGTTTTAGGGGTTACACATATAATGAAATATTTTAAATATTCAAGATAGCACAATAAATGATATACAGCATCTCATAGAGTTCACAGTCAGCATGGGGAGATGAATTTTAAAACCATGGAAAAGTAGTGTTAAAGATGACAAAAGAGAATTGACCTCCGGATGTGATGACCTTGATAAGAGTAGTTCTGATTAAGTAAGTGTGGGCAAAAGTTTGATTGGATTGGGTTTAAATGATGCTGAGAGGAGAGATTTTAGAAACTGCTCTTCCTAGGAATATTGCTGTAATGGGTGAAATAGGAATGGCAGCTAATGCAGACTAGGACCAAAAGGTACTTTTTGTTTGTTTGTTTTTGTGCATGTGTTTTGTTTTTGAAATACAAAATGGAAACATGTTTTTATTTGGATGGAAATGATGCAATAGAGAAGGAAAAATTGATGGTAGAGAGGAAGAGCTGGAGTAAATGTCATGAATAGATGTAAGGGGAATGGGATTTAATGAATAAGTAGTGGAATTAGCCTTTGCTAGGAGCATGGACACTGCATTCAAAGTAATAGAAGAGGAAACAGAATAAATGGGCACAGACATAGGGTAGGCATTTGTGGAATCCTTTTTTTTCTCAGTGGTGTAGGAAACAAGGTCATCTACTAAAAATTAGAATAATAAAACCTTTGGTAGTTTTCAGGAGATGAGAGTATGTGAAATAATTGTCAAAGAGTGAATGGAATAGGAAAGTAAGTGTTATTGTGATTTACTGGTCATGAGATGAGTTAGCAAAGTTTTATGTTTTTCTCCAGCTACCTTACACTGTGCATAGGTTGGCAAGGAGTAAGTGGTGAGTTGGGTTTAACTAGGGTTTTGCTTTAGCCAAGAGAATACACTAAGCAAGGAAGGGCACAAGGGAGTTGATGTTATATGCAAGTTTTTATAATATTGTGACTGTGGTATTTAAGCTGGATCAAAAGGGAAGTGGAGACAAGAGGGTGGATATGTATGATACAGTGAAAAGTTGATAGGATCAATTGATTGTCGGTTCTTATGTATTGAAAGATTATTTGATTTGGAATCCTCCAGAGAGGAAGGTGAAATGATTAGACCTAACAGTTGTTAAGTAAAATGCTTAAAATTGAGATTTTAGAAGGGGTTGACCATGAGAATGAACACCTAGAGGAAAGAAGAGAGATGAGATTATGTGAATAAAGGAAGTCAAGGAGCTGAGGTTTTGGTTTTGGAATAATTATCTCTTTGGATACTGGAGTTACCAAAATTGTGACAAGGAATTATTTTGAATAGCTTGAAAATGAGCCAAAAGCTAACATCTTCAAGGGTTGGTCTAGAAAGAAAAAAATGACAAGAGGACATCTGAGATGCAAAAATAGATGGAAACAGGGCCGGGCGCGGTGGCTCATGCCTGTAATCCCTGCACTTTGGGAAGCCGAGGCGGGCAGATCACGAGGTCAGGAGATCGAGACCATCCTGGCTAACACGGTGAAACCCTGTCTCCACTAAAAATACAAAAAAATTAGCCGGGCGCAGTGGTGGGCGCCTGTAGTCCCAGCTACTCGGGAGGCTGAGGCAGGATAATGGCGTGAACCCGGGAGGCGGAACTTGCAGTGAGCCGAGATCGCGCCACTGCACTCCAGCCTGGGGGACAGAGTGAGACGCTGCCTAAAAAAGAAAAAAAAAAAAAAAAAAAGGTGGAAACCAAAGGCACTGGTACATAATCATTATGTTAAAGTAGTATCTAATTTGTTAATAAAACATATCTAATTTATTTGAGGCCTTTGATTAGTCTGGCACTTCTTACACATAAAGTATAAGTCACAAAAGAAAAAATTGTTACATTTTATGTACTTCTTTAAAATAAAAAAGCCCTCAAAATATACTCTCAAATAAATGAAAAAAGCTGTAAGAGAATAGATTTGCAGAACATATCTAGTAAAAAACCTTGTGTTCAGAATATATGAAATTTCTAACCACTCAACAGTAAGAGAATGAACAAACAACAAAATAGAAAATATCTGGATACTTCACCAAAGAAAATATACACAATTGACAAGCACACAAAAAGACACTTACCACCATTAGTTTTAGAGAAATGCAAATTAAATCCACAAGGAGATAACCACTACACACTCACTAAAATGTCTAAAACTGAAATACATATAAAACAAAAACCTAATTTAAACGACTAGCAAGAGGTGGAGCAATTGGAACACATGGTCTCTTATAGGAACAGGAAATACAATAGCCATTTTGGAAGCTGAGTTTTTCGTTTTTTTGGGGGGGGGTTGTGGGGGGTTTGTTGTTTTTTGAGTTAAACACTTAGTATCAGAGAGGACTCAGAGAGGGCTCAGTAATAACCCCTCTAGGTATTTACCCAGAAGAAAATATGTCTCCATACAAAGATTTAAATGTGATTAATAATTACAGCTTTATTCCTAATAGCCCAAACTGGAAACCAACCTAAGTTTCTCTCAACTGACAAATGGATAAATTGTGGTTCAGTCATAAAATGGACAACAATTTAGCAATAAATATAGCCAGCTAGCTACCGATGCACACAAAATCGTGGACAAATCTGAAAAGCATTATGGTGAGTGAAATAAGCTAGGCACAAAAGAGTACATGCTATATGATGTCATGTATATGAAATTCTAGAAAAGGCAAATCTAGAAATTATATAAAAGGCGGAAAGAATATTTGTGGTTTCCAGGGGCCAACAGGTGAGGAAAGAGGATTGACTTCATAGAAGAAAGGACTTGTATATTGTAATTGTAGTGATAGCTACATGACTGGATACATTTTTAAAAACATTTTGACATGTATGCTTAAAATGGGTGAATTTTATTATATGTAAATTCCACCTCAGTAAAGCTAACTTTACCAAAAAAGGATAAATACTACAAATAAAAACTGACAGTTTATCCTAATGAGTTTAACATTAGTAATTATGTTAGCTGTAGGTTTCCCAGGGATGCCATAACCAGGTAGAGGAAGATCCCTTCTATTCCTATTTTGGTGTGAGTTTTTTTTTTTTTTTTTTTTAAAGAATACATTTTGTATTTGGAAGTGATTTATCAAATACTTTATATAAAAATGATCATGATCAAATGATCCCTTTTTTC